TAATCAATTAATTATTTTAAATTAGCTAACCAAGAGCCATCATAGGCCCCGTTGTCATCAGCAAATTTGATTATTTCTTATCGAATTTTATCTTTCTCAGATTCATCATATGGCTCATATCTTTCCACAAAAGGAAAGTTTTGAGTGAAGTCTTCATATGGCCCTCTATCTTTGTTCTCAAGTAGTTGTTCATACTTCGACATTCTTGTTGCTAATTGGAATATATCGGCAAAATTTTGGCTTTCAAATTTTTCTCTAAGTTTGAATTTCATTCTACTGCATGCCAAGTTTGTGAATTCTTTCTTTGGGAGTAAATTAAGACATCTATTACTAGCCGTCTTCAATCTAGCCACAAATTGATCCGCTGATTCGTTGTTCAACGGCGTCATACAAGCCAAATCTGCAATTGATATATTGGGGATGGACATATAGAATTAGGTATGGAATTGTGTTTCCATTTACTCCCAAGCATGAATAGAATTGGCTGCCAAAGTATACCAAGTAAAAGCAGTCTTGGATAGTGACATAGGGAACAATCTCAACTTCTAGCAAACAACTTGAGACGCATCTCCTCATTGCGCAGCAAATCGACTAACATGTTCAACTGTCGATTGATTGTCCACACTAGAGAATAGGTGGAAGTAAGGTATCTTGAAACCTTTGGGATAAGGGATTACATCCACCTAGTCTGGATATGGCTTTCTGTACACAGGCCTGATGTTCCTAGCATCAATGCATAGGCATTGCATTGCTTGATGCACTAACAACTGGACTTGTTGACGGTCTTGATCGGGGACTACTAGACCAGGCTGCCCCCTAGGTAACTTGGCAGTCTAACCTGATTGTCGATTGCTACATTACGCCTTTGGGGAACATATGCTAGATTGAACACAACCATTGCTTCTGCTAAGGGTCTTTCACCATCTTGCCCCCTAGGCGAAGATGGTGGTCTTCCTTGATTGTCGATCACAATATTAGGCCTATATGGGGCATGTGCTAGGTTAAGCTGATGCACTATTCCAACTGGCATTTCATTGTCGACAAGAGGTATTGGTCTAATTGGTTGTATATTTTCCAAATTTGGCAATGGCATATTTTGTTGAGTATTTTGATTTGCCAAATTGCCATTATTGTTACCACCTATGTTAACTTGAAGAGGGTTAGGCAAATTGCCTCCACTAATAGGCATAGCCCATAGGTCTAGGTCGCACTAGTAGTTTCGACCCTCTGTAAAATCCTAATCGATGGTGAGGGTGGTACAACTTGTCCGACAGTACCAAAAGTATCTTGAGCAGCAGTTGATGAGGGAACATACCCAACAAGTGTAGAATTGGTAGGATTTACCTGCATCTGAATTGAATGGCTTAATGTTCCAGGCCCATGTATGACCTCATGAACGGTTTCACAATGATCGGCTTGACCACGTCGATGAGGTATTTCATCATGTGGTTAGTCGATTTTTTCTGGTGTTCCTCAAGCATCCTTCTCATGGTAGCCAATACTACAAGACTCGGCTCCAACTGCCTTCTCTGCTCGTCGGTGAGTTGTTTTCGAATGTTGACATATCCATCTTGTTCATGCTCTGCCACCGGTTGTGCAATCAATGACTTAGAACGTCCCACTATGTCATTAGCAGGCTCTGTTGGCGAGTTATTACCACCAGCATTGTTAGGATCGAGTTGATTCTTTGTTCGCACATTGTATTTCCTCAAATCAGCCACACCGGTCCTACCAGGTGTGCCAAAAAAACGTTTTCCTGGAATTTCTCCCGCGATGAAATACCTTTCACCAAAAGTCGTTCTTCGATTTTTATTTGAAGGAGATAGATTTTGCGCCGACTTCGAACAGGAAATATCATTGGTACATAAGGAAATCGACCACTTCAACTCAAAAAAGTTTATACAAGTGCAAACTGTGCCAAAATTTAATGGATGACAAGGCTTGTAAAGTACAGTCACTACAACGGAATTGAGTGTAAACAAATTGTGTTGGAATTTAATTAACGATAAAGCCTAAGAGCACAAAGATATTATGCTGGTATTTAATCGACAACGCAACACTCAAGATAGAGATACAAGCTGGAATTTAATCAACAACACGAGTCTGAAAAATAAAAGTATAGTGCATGAAAGTAAAGATAACTGAAAGATAGTAATTTGTTTGATTTGTGCCGGGGGGGACTTCGAAGAGCATGATGTGGCTATTTAAAGCCTATAATCGACGGTTGTCTACAAAGGGAGATTACGAAGAAGGTTAAAAAGAGAGGTTGCGAACAATTACCAAACGGTTATATTGATTCCATTATCTTGATAGTTGTTTTATTCTACTACGATGACAGTTACTCTTTTTACAGTTGCATCCGAAATTATCGACACCACTTTTTGTCACCAAACGGTTATATTGATTCCATTATCTTGATAGTTGTTTTATTCTACTACGATGACAGTTACTCTTTTTACAGTTGCATATGAAATTATCGACACCACTTTTTGTCGATCTCTTCAAGTTGTCAATTCTTCAAGGTTTCGATTCTTCAAGTTATTACATGTCAATAATAACAAAAAAATGGACTTTTTTTTGTGCAAATAGAGATATACTAAGTATTCACTTAGATTAGGACAGGTATGTGCATGAGATTGTGTACACTACATAGATTACCGTACGAATTCACAATGATATAAATGAGAGAGTTTTGTTTATGAATTATTATAACGTATTACTTTACCCTGGCGGTGTATCGTCTATTTTTCGGTTGTTTATATCATGACTTTGAACCAAAAACAATAGAGTTTTAATGATTTTGGGAGGTAGAAAATTGTTGCAAAAAGAGATGTTTGGCAAAAATTTATTTTAGGGACGCATAGTAAGCTCCAAGAAGGCTTATGCGATTGAACTATTTCTCTGTATAATAAGTTCCATCGCATCAAGTCATCATCGAATCTGTGGAGTCCACATGGCTTTTGGGATCCAATGACGACGCAGTGCTTGATGCATCCGGCTCCACGTCCATTTAACTTCATCTGTAGCGTACAAAAATCAGAGAGCTACAGTCAAATGAAGCTCTATGGCCAACAGGAAGTAGTCAAATTAAGCTAATTTAAGGGAAGAAACTAAACAAGTTACACTGTCCCTCTGTTCAAATAGTTTCCACGTGAAGAACCCGACAGGATAGGTCGGTTTTAGCTACTAACTTAGCTGGATTTGATGATTATCTTGGCTATAATTTTGGTCCAATGAGCGAGACCCTCTTTGACATCTCTATATGTTCTTCATTGGTCATGTCCCCATTAAGCAACATCAAATGAAAATCCTCGTATAATCCGTAAATTTGTCATCATGATACATCACTACTTCCCAAAATGATAGCAGATCATTTTAGTGACTTTGCGTAGTAGCCAACTTTTGTTTTCAATGTCATCGCTCCTTTTAAAGTGTCTTGGTATCACATATTTAGGACGTCGACACACACAGCTGATTTTTTTCGAAATTGTAATGCCAACAGAACCCGGTCCATATGATCGTACGGAACATGACGAATACAGATATACTAAAGGGGGTTAGAGGATGAGAGGCCAACATTGATGACATGCATCATCTTCTCGGATGGAGATTCTCTATCACTCTACTTTGTCTGAATGTAGTGCCACACACTGCTCAATTAATCAAGTTTGAGAAAAGAAACCGTAAAAAATCTTACGTGTGGACACCCAGTGAAGGGGTGGATTCAACATTTTGCATACTTGCAGGTGATGCATGCATAAAATATACATTCTGCAGACAACGACAGCATACAGAAGTGGCGTGTGAAAAGGGACTAAGCCATGGCAACATCGAAGCCCCCCTTAATTCACGGTGGTTAGTAAGATTCGAAGAGATTTTCCCTCTATAAACAAAACCTAAGAACCCGTCGTCAATCACGCAAGCATGCAAAGGACAAATTAAGCACCCATCATTGTGGACCTTTCCCTATCTTTCTTAACACCCCCCCGAACATCATGTAAACCCCACTTACTTGACAAAGATGGGTCTTGTTTAGTTTTCTTGAACTAACATGTTTTGGTTAAATGATTGCATATATTGTGTCGTGGAAGTCTCTCTCCAAACCTCTTGCCTACCTTACAAAGTCCACATGATCAAGAGAACTTAGGCAGATGAGAGGTCGTTTAGAAAGAGATAGCCTTGCATTAACTTCATGTCCATGCCAAAAAAAGATGATTTTTTAATTAGATAAAATCGAAATTTGCACAACCACACAGCAAAGGTTGATCTTTATGGCTAAGGCCTTTTCTTATGTTATATACCATGTCTCGTCTCTACACACGCTCGCGCACGTATAATTATAATTGTACCACACACGATGGTGCTCGTGAATAGGGAAGTTGAGTGGTCGCCGGACAAGATCCGTTTGGAAGGAGGGTCATAAGTTGAGTTCTCGTAATATTTTCACTAGTTAACCTCTTCTCTTTGACATTTAATTAGAAACAAACCGGCCAATATGGAACACTGATCTAGCAAACTTGTGATGATCAAGTCAACAGATGGGTTTCGCTTTGTTAGAGTGCCATTCGGTGCAAAAGTAGGTTCGAACCTACTACATTACTTTCTCCCTATTTAATAATGTATGATGTAATGTAAATTAAAAATTATTGAGCTAGTCGTACTCATAGGACCATAATACATCTAAGACACGCCCTCGTGTTGCTTTATTCTTTGGGTCTCTCACACAGACACACATGTATCTGACAAACATAATTTCTTGGGTTTCTTGTTTGATAACGCCATACCTTGAAGTGTTCTTTTGATGGCTCATCAATGAGTTTTCTTGCACTGTGTCATCTTCCCAATAACAAGACTTGCTTTCTTCATAACCAACCCTCTCTCTCTCTCTCTCTCTCTCTCTCTCTCTCTCTCTCTCTTTTCTTGTCTTTGTCAATCATCAGTTTCTTGCAACTGTAACACACCAGCGTAACATATCAGATCTTTATATATTCAACACATTCAACCACTCAAATCACCTATTAGCTACTTAGTCTTTCCACATTTTCATGCTCCTTTGTCTCATACTGTTCTTCTAAACACACTCCCTCTCTCGCTCTCTCTGATGGCGGAAATAGACTACTCTCTCCAAACCAAGCCATTTACTACTAACATCACTAGCAATAACATCACACCACTAAAGCTCTTTGGCATCGACATATCATCATCACCACCGCTGGAAGAGAGCACAAAAGAAAATATTCTTGGAGATGATTCGAATTCGAATTCAACAAAGTCTTCATCATCCGGGTCGCCGGAATCCGACGGCCGGAAGTTCGAGTGCCAGTACTGCTGCCGTGAGTTCGCCAACTCGCAGGCCTTGGGCGGCCACCAGAACGCGCACAAGAAGGAGCGCCAGCTCCTGAAGCGCGCTCAGATGCGAGTCGCTGCCGCCGAAGGCCGGAAGCTGCACAACCCATTCATGTCCACCTTCACCCAGCCACACCACCTCCTGGCCCCGCACCTTTCGCCAGCAGGGACCCCTCCGTGGCTGATCCTTCCACACACCGGCCACACGCCTTCGTTCCAAGTTGCGAACGGTGTCGGCTTGTATTTCACTGGAGGGTCGTCTCGCATTCCTGGGAGGCACGTGAGTGGAGGCAGTGTTGGCGAGACAGCTGCAACAGCGACAAGGTCGTTTTTGCTTGATGAAGTGAGAGCTCATGGTGGTCGGCCTTCCTCTCAGATCGAGAAGAAGGGTTTGGGGTTGGATCTGCATTTGAGTCTTGGACCTGCTGCTACGTAACTTGTAATTTCATTTGGTAATTTTCAAGTCGATCCATTTAGTACCAAGAAAATGTGGAGTTTGAGTATTGGAACATGTACAATTTGCAGACTTTTTTCTTGTGTACTCAAATATCATCCACATCAAGTGAGAAATTGTCGTAAAAATGAGTGAAAACTTGTAAGGCACTAGATCTTTAAGTTTGAATCTTTCCCACCTTTTACAGCCTAAAGGAAAAGTTGACTAAGGAACTCGACATATAGGAAATGCATTGATAATGTTTGGCTTTGTCACATTGACTTTTTCCCCCAAATGAACTTTAATTTCAAGGCTGGTAATGATTAGCGGGCTCAAACTCAAAGGGTAAAATATGATCGGAAGTCACTCATCGTTTATACAGCTCAAGAAACTTTAATGGAGGACAACTTAGCCGACCCAGTAGAGCCTATATTGCTCACAAAGACAAGAAAAGATCACGTGCAATCATCAACTCTAATTGTCACGGGTATTATTAAAATACATATGATTGACATCTCGCGTCTGGATATATAATCAAAATGACAGTTATTTATGCCTCAATTAGGAAGATAAATTTGAGCCATCATAATGATCACAGCTGTCAAAAATTTGTGTCGAATGGGGTTTGGAACATCTATAATAGCCGCTCTAATTAGTGGACCTGTCAATCTAGCGCCATTCCCAACTAAGGAAATGAAGGAAATCGTGCAAAAGTTAAGAAGAAACCTTTACATAGTTAATTGACTCTCTACTTGCCCGAGCGAAGTCCAGCAGTGAGCACGCACAGCCAGTGTCAAGCCGCCACTCAAACATGTTGGCCGGATCGAGTTTGGACCGAGTCAAAAATGGCCGGATCGAGTTTGGACCGAGTAAAAAATGATCCAACCTAAATTGATCAATTTAATCCGTTTTGATCTATTTATATTCAATGCAAATTTAGTGATCCATTCCCAACCCAATCTAATCCGTACCTAATCCAAACCCGACCTAACTAGAAATCCATTTTTAGTAACTTTTTTTCCATAAATTTTTGCCTTCAAAGAATGAGCTACTCCATGAACCGACTTGTCAAGATAGTAAGGGAGCTCGGGGGTCGAGTTATGGACGGGAGCGTAAAGATAAGGGTGAAAGTTTGGGTTTCCTTGAAGTGCAATATGTCACAGTAGTATGAAGTTGCAAGCTAGAGGTTGAAGAAAACCTAAAGATGGTGGAAGTAGAGCAAACAAAGGGAAAAGGTCACATGTCACGAAATTGAAGAGGGAGAAAGAAGAGACTAGCAAAGAATGACCAAGTAAGCTAAGCCTGAGCTATTTATTATATGGGTTGAAAGTGGGTTTATAACGGCCGCTAAAACCCATATGTTTTGAGATTTTAACTTTAAAATCCACCCATGCTTTAAATTTGTGGTGACTCATCTTAATAAATATAGGTTAAAATATTTTTGTCATCGGTCCAGTAGCTTTCGTCGTCTTTGCTTTTAGACTAAGCTATTTGGTACAGCAGTAGCTTTTAGAAAGTTACAACACCCAGCTTTAAGGTAGTGTAGTTTATGAAATAGGTACGAACTCACATAAAAAGTTTAAGTACAATAAAAGTCCTATAACTTATTACAAAAGTGCGATTAAAATCTAAAACTTTCAAAAAGTATAATCTGAAAGAGTATGAGTTTGAATTTGATCGCACACTCAATGGTGTGGAGATTTGTATTATATTTATAATATATACATGAGCGGGAGAATCACAATTGAAAAGATTTTATAAAAGGTAAGAATCTACAATATTAGTACAGTTTGTAAAAGTTTTGCTCTATCAACGGGATTGGCACAGATTGCAGAAGATTGACGTTATCAACGTGATTATCACAGATTACGGAAGATTGCTCTATCATGGGAGATTTGCTCTATCACACCCCCTCAAGAGAAACGGTGGCGGAGTCACTGTGAGCTTGTCACATAAAACAAGAAATCGGGATATGGATAGAGGTTTTATCATGACATCAGCCGTTTGCACCTGAGTAGGAATGAAGCGAACTTCCAACTGCTTCTTGCTGATTAAATCATGAACAAAATGATAGTCAATTTCCACGTGCTTGGTTCGTGCATGGAAGATGGGATTTGTGGCCAGATAGATTGCCCCTACATTATCACAAAGAACAAGAGGTGACCGATGGAGAGTGTATCGAAGATCTCGGAGGAGTTGTAATAGCCATAGTAATTCAGAGGCTGCATTAGCCACCCCTTTTGTATTATGATTCAGTGCTAGACAGAGCAACAGTTGGTTGCTTTTTAGAACTCCAGGAAACCAAGTTGGGACCAAAATAAATGCAATAGCCACTAGTAGACTTTCAGTCGTCAGGGCAGCTGGCCCAGTCAGCATCTGTAAACACAGTGAAGGTCAGTTGGCGCATAGGCCTCAAAGTAATCCCATGATGAATAGTAGCTTTGAGATAGCGCAAAATCCGTTTGACAACTGACCAATGATCGATAGTTGGACAATGCATAAATTGACACACTTTATTGACATCAAATGATAGATTTGGCCTGGTAAGGGTAAGGTATTGCAATGCCCAAACTGTGCTCCAATATGCGGAGGCATCGGTCAGTGGTTCACCACTTTGCTTCGACAACTTAGAAGCTGAGGGAGCCATAGGTGATGAGCAAGGTTTTGCATCGGCCATGCCTGTGCGAGTGAGAAGAGCAGTGGCATACTTGGATTGAGTGAGGGACAGCCCAGTAGAGGATCAATGGGCTTCAATGTCAAGAAAGTATGATAGATTTCCCAAATCAATGATTGTAAACTCAGTGCCAAGTTGAGTGATTAATTCGGTGATGGAGGAGGTAGAGCTCCTGGTAATAATAATATCGTCAACAAGATGAGAAGAAGTAGAATGTCGTTAGATTTATGTTGAATGAATAATGAAGAGTCAGCAGTGGAGGCCACAAATCCGATAGATAATAAATATGAGCTTAGCTGAGAAAACCAGGCCCGTGGAGCTTGTTTTAGCCCATATAGAGCTTTCCAAAGACGACATACATGGCCAGGATAACGTTAATCAATAAATCCTAGGGGCTGCTTCATGTAGACTTCTTCTTTAATGGTGCCATGGAGAAATGCATTCTTGATGTCCAAATGGCGTAGAGACTAGTTATATGTAACGGCTAATGAGAGAACAACTTGAATCGTTGTCGGTTTGATAACTGGACTGAAAGTTTCATCATAGTCCAAGCTAGCCTGTTGAGTAAAGCCCTTCGCAACGAGTCATGCTTTGCATCTATCGATGGGGCCATCAGCCTTGGTTTTAGGCGATAAATCCACTTGCAGTTGACCACATTCATGGAAGGGTGACGAGGAACCAGTTTCCAAGTGCCATTTTGAATGAGAGCATTAAATTCACTAGCCATAGCTTGTTGCTAGTTAGGGTCTTTGTTTGCAACGGAAAAACAAGTGGGTTCACTTGGTGTCAAGCTTGAGTGAAAACAAGAACACGGTGGGTGCTTAGTTGAGAGAAAAGCCTTTGGTTTACGGATGTTATTTTTTAGACGAGTGACCATTGGATGGGTAGAAGTTGGTGGTTGAGGATGAGAAGATGGTAAGGGTGGAGCTTCTGGAGAAGATGATTCACATGGAATTGTGGAAGTGCATGATTGTTGAAGTTGTGATGAGGAGTTGCCCATGATATTCGACGGACTTAACGGAAGTGATGTAGTAGTGGACACCCCCTGAAGCTAGGGGTTTAATAGAGGAATAACCAATGCAAACATGGGCACTTGGCGATGGTGAGGACAATTGACCAGAGTTTGATTGAGCAAACGGGAACAAGTGCTCCTGAAAAACCACATGGCGAGAAATATATATTCGGCCAGTGCTACGATGCAGATAACGATAGCCACGGTGATGAGGAGAATAGCCAATGAAGATACATTGCATTGTTCAGTCATCAAGTTTATGGAGAGTATAAGAGCGCAGCCAAGGATAGCATGCACATCCAAAAACACACAACTGTAGATAATTGGGATTCTGGCCAAATAATTTTTCATAAGGAGACAATCCACACAACACCGTTGTAGGCATGCGGTTAATTAGAAAGACCGCAGTGAGGAAAGCATCAGTCCAATATAGACGAGGAACAGAAGCTCGGGTAAGCAATGTGATGCCAATTTCTACAACGTGACGGTGTTTGCGCTCAGCCTGACCATTTTGTTCTGGCGTGTGCAGGCATGAGAGACGGTGTAGGATGTAGGGTTCATCAACGAAAAATAACGCAGCGGAATATAGAACCCCAGACAGGATCCATGTGTATATTGAAATCGAAAGGGAATTTCGACGCGTACCTTTGCATATCGAAGATAAATCGGCACCGGATTGTGTCGGGATAAGCGCCCCAAGTGTTGCGCCTCTACCGGTATCCACACACGCGAACGGAATTCTCCAACGATCCACGTGCTAGCGAAAGATCTTGAAGTTCCTTTTCTTGAACGCCGAATAGAGAACGATTCTCTATCGTAGAGTTTCTCCTGGAGACACTCTCTCTAGGGTTTCCGTATTCTATGGAGGCACGGAGGCGTGCGTCATCTGACGTGAGACTCTCTCACTATCTATATCTATATATATAGCCTCATAGGAAACCCTAATGGGCCGGGCTATTTGGGCCCGCCCAAACTATCCACCTCCAATCGTACATGTAACGTTATCTCATAACGCGCACGACCGCGTAGATAATTTAAATAGGAGAATAAATCTACTTCTGAAGTAGATCAAGGCGCACAGAAAATATGAAGTCCGTTCGCGATTGTGTGCGACCCTGTAGGTTCACTACACATTAGCAGTGTGCACAAAACCCTTTTGGCCCACAAGTCATAAGCGGTCTCTAGCAAGACATTATGACTACCTAAGTATAGTGAAGATCGGTTTTCTGACACAACCTAATCCACAACTAATATTAGAGTATCAACCTTGATTGATTCTTAGGGCAGACCACTAACAGTAGGATGCCATGAAGACGAAGATAAGGATCAAATTTCTTAAACTCATCACCTCCATCAGTTTGAAGGGTCTTGATCTTGCAGTTGAAATATTTTTCCGCTTGGGATTTAAAATGCACAAAAGTAGAGAGAGCATCAGATTTCACAGTAAGTGGAAAAAGCCATGTGTATCCACTATAAGCATCAATAAAAATGATGTAATAACGAAAACCATTCATTGACGTAACGGGAGATGGTCCCCATAGATCAAAATAAAGTATTTCCAAAGGAGCATTACAAGTGGTTAATGATCTAGTAAAGGGAAGACGACGTGACTTGCCCAAGTGACATGATTCACAAAATCTAGATGAGGAAGAAGCAGATATTGGCAGGCCATGCTTTGAAATAACTGAAGAAGTGATGCGAGCAGTCGGATGACCCAAGCGCTCATGCCAAATAGAAGCAGAAACTCGTTCACCAATGAAGCAGGATGAAGCTGGCGATGATTTATTTGACTGCAGAGAATCCTTATTGGTGGTACGTGCATTATTAAGACAATAGAGTCCATTCTTATTCTGGCCTTTGAGCAGGAGGTTCCTCGAGGATCGATCCTTGACACAACAGAAAGTAGGATGAAATTCAAATACCACATCGTTGTTTTTGGTAAATTGAGAAACAGATAATAGATTCTTCTTGACAGATGGAACATGATAAACAGTTCGTAGATTAAAAGACGGATAGGAGAATGTAAGATGGAAGAACCAATATGTGATATTTGCAAACCTGACCCATTTGCCGTGCGGACTTGATCGGTGCCAGAATAGTCGTTCCGAATGTTCAAATTTGCCATATCAGCCGCAAGATGATGAGTGGCACCAGAGTCTGGGTACCAATATGGATTAAACGACTCACTGGTTGAAGAGGTATACATCGCAGATGGAGAGTTGGTATTAGCTTTATAGCCAGGATTAAATTGCTGGTAGCATTGGAGAGCCGAGTGACCTGTATGACTACACACCTGACAGATAATGCGAGAATGAGAATAAGCTCCAAAATTACGACCACGACCTCGGCCATGTCCTCGTCCTCGACCACGTCCTCGACCATTGGAGGGAGTATTGAAGGCATCAGATATTTTGACTGCAACATTCACAATTGGAGAAGACTCTATTGGAGATTCGGAAGTGCGGCTTTGAAGAATAACTTCCTGATTGTAAAGAAGGCCAAGAAAGTCATCAAGAGGTAGTGGATCGAGACGAGATGTAACTGAGGTAACGAATGTATCATACTCCGAACCCAGGCCACCAAGGATGCTGAGAATTAATTGGGAATCAGAGATGGGATGAGCAGCCGCAGAAAGATGATCTACAATGTTTTTGGCTTTTTGAACAAAGGCTTCCATGGAAAGAGAGCCCTTCTTTAGAGATCGAAGCTGAAATTCTAATTGCATTATGCAAGCTTGAGATTGAGGAGCATAAAGTTTCTCAAGCGAAGTCCACACATCATGAGAAGTGTCAAGACCGACAATGTGTGAGAAAACTGATTCAATAAGAGTGGAGAGGATGCAGCAGAGGATGAGCTGATCTTGATAATGCCATGCAGTATGATCCGGGTTTTCGGTCACAGTATTATTGGCAGTAGCAATAGTGGGTGCTAGACAAGGATACAAACCATCTACAAAGTGAAGATACCCATGAAGACGAAATAAAGGTAGAAACTGTGCTCGCCACAGAAGGTAGTTGGTGCGATCTAACTTGATTTGGAGAACATGAGATATATTATCGAGCGCAAAGGGTGGTTGGGAGGTGGCTAACAAGTATGTAGAGTTAGCAGCGATGGTGAAGGTAATGGTGTTGGAGGATATGGACGAAGAAGACATTGTAATGAAGAATAGAAACAAGATGAAAAAAAAAAATTTAGAAGATTTGATACCGTGAAAGAGTATGAATCTGAATTTGATCGCACACTCAACGGTATGGAGATTTGTATTATATTTATGATATGTACATGAGCGGGAGAATAACAATTGAAAAGATTTTACAAAAGATAAGAATCTACAATATTAGTACAGATTGTAAAAGATTTGCTCTATCAACGGGATTGGCACAGATTGAAGATTGACCTTATCAACGTGATTATCACAAATTACGGAAGATTGCTCTATCATGAGAGATTTGCTCTATCACAATCAAGTTCAAAAACTGATCAAATTGATGTAATCAAGTCCTTCCGTTAACTCAGTCAATTTGGTTAACGAAATATGCTAATGCGGCATCTTTTAATCAAAATCTTACTTAAATTAGATATAAAAAAAAGATCAAATTAGATTTTTATTAATTGAAGAAGAAATATCTGAACTCACACTAGTTGGCCTTATCATCATCGACCTCCGATATGTCGACCGAAAGACTAAGGCTCCGTTTGTTTTGTGAAAAATATTTTCCTCTTTTTCCGGCGTTTGGTTCGCTTATGAAAATGAGTTAATAGAAAATGTTTTGATGAAAAACTTATGCTTAAATTCCGAAAATGATTTTCTTTTAAAAATCGGAAAACTTTTTTTCAAAATATTATTATGTATTGACTCTTAGACCTCAAACTCTACACTTGAGCACAGAAACCCCAACGTTGATTCTCGGATACCCGGCATTCAGGACTAAGTCTCCGGCGCCCGAGCCCAAGTCCATCAAGGCCAACCTGGGACCCCAGTGCCCCAACGCCAACGCCCCGGTCCATCAAGGCTAGGCCCGAAGCCTTGGTGTCTATGCCCGATGTCTCGACACCCAAGCTCGGGTCCATAAATACCATGTTTGGGTGCTCGAGCTCTAGTCCTTAGCACTTAGGCTTAGGCTCACAAAGGCTGAGTGCAAGTCTCTTGTGCTTGGGCTCAGGTTCTTAGTTAATGAGACATTCGTTCTTATAAAAAAAAATTAAATCAATATTTTAATTTTCTTTTATTTTCTTTCTTTTTCTTTTTCCTTCTTCCTCAGTTGATGGCCGGCCACGAGGGAGGGATAAGCTCGCCCAAGCTCAGCAAGCTCGAGGTCTCACCACAGATTGGCAAGGTGGAGGTCGTCGCAGCAAGCTCGACCTCGTCGACCTCTAGCGCACTCAAAGCTTGCCAATCTAGCAAGGCTTGAGCTCCCCGGCCTTGGGCGAGCTCGAGGCCTTGCTAGAGGTCAGCGAGTTGTGGCGAGCTCGACCTCGCCGAGACTTGCGAGGTCTCGAACTCATCATCTTCGGGGGAGCTCGACCTTGCCGGATCTGACAAGGTGGAGCCTCGCCCGAGGCTGGCAATGCTCGATTTGCCAGAATCTAGCGAGCTCAAGCCTCAATGGCCCGAGGCGAGCCTTGTCCCTCGCCTATGGCCGATCGCTAGCCAGAAGAAGGAAAAGAAGAAAAAGAAAAATGAGAAAAGAAACGTAATTAAAAATTGAGATTTTTTAAAAATAAAAATTATTAAAAGGAGTGCATGAATGAAAATCAAATCAGATTTTTCATAACAAATAGTGAAAAATATTTTCAAGTTCATTTTCAGGTTTCAGCCAAATACTTAAAAATAAAATCATTTTCCGTCTTGAAAAATATTTTTCAAAAATATCACATTTTTCGCGAAATAAATGAAAACTAAAAGTAATAACATCATAAACAAACCAAAATTCGCAAGTTGTAAGCAGTATAGCTACTAGAAAATGGGCCCGCAAAAGCGGAAACTTGAGGACCCAATCTAAAGAGAAAATCAAGTAAGAGCATAAATATAACTTACCTCGGCTTTTGATGAACAAAAAATCCTCTCTCTTTTGCAGAAATTGCTTTCAATCCGTAAATTAGATAAAAGAATATGAACGACCCTCGCCTAGATTTGAGGAGAGGGTTGTGCCCTCCCTCAGCTGGCAAGGGCCAGCCCCTGCCTACCATCGGCAATGCCCCCGCAACCTTTGCTGACCCTTTCTAGCGAGGGCTAAGGCCCCCTTTTTTTTTTTTAGCTTGGATTTTTTAAGAAAAATTCATCATTTTCAATCTAATTTAAGAACGATTTGAGAAAGAAAATAATAAAAACGACAAGCAGGAGAGAGAAAAAATAAACAAATGTCACGTCACTATTTTTTGTTAGCTAAATTTATAATGTTAGCGGAAAAATTTGATTGCACCAATTTAATAAATTTTAGGTATTCAATCACACTTTTGCAAAAAAGTTTTAGGACTTTGAAAGTAAATATCAATAAGACCAAATTCGACCTCCAAAATATTTGGCCAAAAGAAAAAAAAAATCTCCGAAATATCTTTCAGCCTGCATGAAACCACGAGCCAGAGCAAGCCTCCAGCAGCTTCGCCTCTTCTCCGCGAGTCATCTGCTCATCGCATCTTCCCTTGAAGGCCTTTTCTCCGTAATTCAACGGTAAAGTTTATTTCACTAGATTGTTATTCATCTTCGGGCGAAACCCTCTTGATTTCTTGATTTTTCTTTTTGAAAGTTCTTGTTTTTCTGCCTCTCTGCTCACCGAAGCCTTTTGGCTTATCTTGCGTCTCAGCTCATGACATTACCAAATTACTGGGTTTACGCATTTGAATTCTGCAATCCCGTGTTGGTGTATAATTGTAACCGTGGAACCAATGGATGTCGTGTTTGCTTCTACTGGGTTGCTGCGGAAGTGTTGTTATGATTAGGATAAATGAAGTGTATCAGGGTTGTGGATGTGCAGGTCATGTTGCATTCAGGTTCAGTCCCTAGAACCAGCACATGTCCACCAAGTCTTCAAGGTCCCCGTATACGCCCGCGACACACAGTTCCGGCGATGCTTCGTGTCTCTGCTTCATTGCCAGATAGTGACAGCAGATTCAAAGTGGAATATACTCCTTGGTTGGTTGTTGGATTGGGAAATCCTGGGAATAAGTACCATGGCACAAGGCATAATGTAATTGATGACAGTTTTTTGCATAAAATGATTGATGACACAGCTAGATGCCGCTTGCTTTCATCGATCTTTATATTTATCTAAATCCTTGTCTGTTTGTTAGGTTGGTTTTGAAATGATCGAGCGCATATCGCAAGCCGAGGGCATACTGTTAAACACAATTCAGTCAAAAGCCTTGATTGGAATAGGTAGTTGATTAATCCGTTTTTCCTTGTCCTTCTTGATACTTTGGCATTTACTTGCGGAAGCATGATTAGGGCTTTAAAATTCTCCTCAAGATTGATCAATTGGACGTCCTTTGATCATCAGTGCAGGTTGTATTGGAGAGGTGCCATTAGTGTTGGCCAAGCCTCAAGCATATATGAACTTCATCGGAGAATCTGTTAGTTCCCATCCTACGTAGCATATATTTATCTGGTTCCTTTTTTCAGCTGCCATATTTGCTGGCATAATGGTACCATTATAGATGCTGCATTCTTTTCGTATGATCTATATGTTTTATATGGTTTCTAGGCATTTGAACTTTTCGGCTTCTTAGTTTCAGAGCTCAGACGGTTTCATAAGTATAACTGGCAACTGAACACCAAATGGTGATTTGTGAATGGAAACTCTTAAGTTTCGGCAATATATTTGCTAAAAGTTCGATGATTTCAACAATGTTAGGACATCATTTTTATCCCTTTTGCTTTTCTTCCTGGGTTCTGACTTGAAAATTGGCCTGGAGCAACTTGATACTCTCATAATATCATTCAAAATTTGTATATTAGGTTTGGATATGGTGACGGACTAAGATCAATGAGCAGCCATATTTGCTTTTGAGTTTCATTTCTTCTCATGCAGAATGAAATTCTCTTTTATTCAGCGGAGAAGAAAATTTTAAAAAATGGATAGTTCATTTCAATGGTTTATCAAGAAGGATAAGTTTTAATGTGACCATCTTATTGGGAGTCATAAGAATTTCTTAGTATCAATTCTTGTATATTGACAGCTGACTAGAAAGCTTTTAAGGAAAATTTTGATTAGCCATCCAGCTTCTTCTTCACAGCTTTGATATACACTATGACAAAAATATTGATTGTACGAGCTAAGCATTTTTTTTTTCGTTTGAAGCGATAATGAGCTGGGAGTGTGTGCTTTGTGTTAAGGAGGACTATTTCAGGGTAGTTGATAAAAAAGTTGTACCACCTGGCTGGAGAATATCAGTGCAAAATACATGTCTTTATTGACTGAAACTTTCGTGTATGGTTGTTGATTGGAGTTGCATTATATGCAAGTATGATGTAGTGCGTCCAATTTTTGGGTCTTTAGGGCCTTCTCTTTCTTCGCTGTTGCTTTATCTTGATATATCTTGATTTTTTACCATCTTCAGCTTATTCCATTTCTTCTGTTAAACTATGGACCTAGGGCTTATTTCATCTTTAGTCACGAAAGACTGGGAGTTCCTATTTTCAATGTTTTCACTCCTTTTCATTCAGGTTGCACCGCTTGCAACATACTACCAGATTCCTCTTCGACATATTTTGTTGGTAATTATGTGTAACTCTGCTATTTGTGGAAGGACCACTTAATATTACCCTCAGTTTTTCCTCTTGATACTATGTAAGTTTTATTGGTCTGTGCAGGTTTATGATGAGATGAGCTTACCCAATGGTGTTATGAGGCTACAACCCAAAGGAGGACATGGTCAGCACAGCGGGTATAGCTTCTTTAATACTATTTTCCAGCTTGTCTGTGTATTCTACAGCAGCTTTTCTCTTGAGCATCAAAACTTAATTGATCCCTTGGTCTGTCACTCGAATTATATCCTTTATTAGTTGTAATTACCGAGCAAGTAAAATTGATGGCAGGAAGGGAAAGGCTTCCTTTGAATCTTAATCAATTTAATGCAATCAGTGTGGATGAATGCATGGCCAAATCGGAATAATTTGTATGGATAATGGGCATGATTTGGACATTTTCTGATACCTATGTCGACACTTTTGTTGAAATATTATCCCGTATCGATTGACAACGGGTCCTAAATGCTCTTTATATTCATGTGGTCTCCCTCCACCTAATAGCTTAAGCTTTTGGATTGGACTTTTAACATAGTATCAGCCACATGAGTGGGGGTGTTGAAATATTATCCTTACATCGATTGACAACGGGTCCTAAATGCTCTTTATATTCATATGGTTTCCCTCCACCTAATAGCTTAAGCTTTTGGGTTGGACTTTCTAACAACTTCTCTATTGATGCTGGAGTTTTTGCACTTTGGGTTCATTTTCATGCCCAAGAAAGGAATAAGCGTGTCAATGAAGCAAATTTGTGCCTCCATGGGTCGTAACTGGCTTACTGGGACGCCCGTAGCTGCTTTTTTATGCTTAATAACTAACCTAGGTACTTCTTTTCTTGGAAAAAAGACCTTATTTGATCTAATGGGATGGCATGATCCTTTATATGGTGCTTGTGGTGCTTGCATTTTGGATTAAAAGGAATGTTTATAAATATCGTCCGGAGGTAATTCAACAAAATTCATCTGTTGAAATACTTCAAAGAGTTTGGCTGTTTGGACCAATAGAAAGGTTTTAAATGCGAGACAAAAGACAAATATTTGCACCCCTTGGAGAAACAATGAACACACAACATTGACAGAGGTGTCAGCGGAAGTGGGATAGCATGAAATAGATACAGGGGTGGTGTCTTGCTTACTTTATTTAGTCAGATCTTTGTTGGTGGAAGTAGGAGTGACTGATTTTAATCTCTAGTTGGACTAGGCTATGTTAAATTTTCTTATGTGTTTTTCCTTATGCGGAGTCAACTATTAAATTTCTTGGATACCTGGTGTACTTAAATTCCATATGACCTTGAATTAAAGCACTTGTATATGTATCATCGTTTGAGCCAAACAAACTCGACTTTTCATCGGAATTCTAATTTCACATGATACAAATGTTCGATCAGATTTAGAGGCATATCCCTCTGCTATAGTGTTTGTTAGTTCTATAAAACCCGATGTCATTGGTTCAAATCCTACAGAGCGTATTTGCAAGCATATTATCATGGTCCTTCTATCTTGTGCCAGGATGAAGAGTGTGATGGCTCATTTGGATGGTTGCAGAGAATTTCCTCGGCTCTCAATTGGTTGGTTCCTTGAGATCATTTTAAGCGCCCCTTGTAATTTATGTAGTGTAATAATTGCCACCCATCATACTTGCAGGTATTGGGAGTCCACCAGGAACTATGGATGTGAAAGCTTTCCTTTTGCAGAAGTTCAGCTCAGTGGAACGTGAACAGGTGCATCTTTGTTATAATACTACGCAAGTTCAAAGTCACCTCGCAACCAGCAATAAGTACAGTTTTGTCTTGGTAAAAATATATATGCATATACCTATGCATATGTATATATAGATAGTTTTATCTAAATGCCGATGTAGCTTGTTCTTTTCAGGGTCAAGACTCATGTTCTCAAAACATAGATTGTTAAAGATTAGTCACAGGGTAGGAATTCAGCTGAAAATTCGTAGGACTCTTTAATGGGTATTGGCTTTTTATACAGATTGATGAGGCATTGGATCAAGGAGTTCAGGCTGTGAGGGCATTAGTGCTCAGCGGATTTAGCAAGCGTATAAGCAGATTTAATTTGGGGCAGAAGTATAAGTATCACAAAGTTTGATATTACTGATTGAATTATATTGTATTCCTCCCATATGTCTGATCAACAAGAAAGAAACAATTGCAAAGCCTTGATTATACTAAGTACAGTCAGTTATCCGAACTCTTTCACGTTATTGCGCTATTCATGCAGCCGAAAAACCTTGCAAAATTTTGTCTGCATGTCCTACTGACCCATCTTGAAATTTTGTCAGTCTATTTAGATGACATGCACTAGCTTAAAAAAAGTTTTAGACCAAAGTAATTAACAAGGAATCCTCCTTAACATTGATCGACAGTAGCTTCGATCCAATTGCTTCTTTAGTCTGGCTATATATTTTGGCACAGGTTGCTGGGTTTCTCATTCGTATGATTTCTCTTCAGCTTATTTGCTTTCGAGCGCACTACTTTGTTGCTTATTTTTTCCTTTCCATCTGAACATATTTAGCCAATAATTAGTGAGATTGTGGAATTACGTGCAAAATACTATAGAAAAATCTTTGATGAGTACCAAGGTCAGAGAGTATTGAAGTTTATGCCTTTGAGGCAAACACGTGAGTATATGTCTAGGTTGGACATCCAACTATCTTGCCACCTCGAGGAACGGTTGTTCGAGGCATTATGTTTTATTTCGATTTGTCAGGTAAATAGTCCCGGTGCATCCAACCGCCCTGCCACTAAAATAGAGTACAAAAATGGGTGATCAAATAATGGTCATCTCCAAGGAAAATCCGAGGAAGTGTCCTGATTTTTTCTGGCATGCAAATGTCACTAAAATAGCTACTTTAGGTCAGTCTCTTTCTCAGCCATGAGAACCAGAACATGCAAGACCATGTGTGAGCAAAGACCAAAGAGGAACAGCATGGGGACAAGCAGAGAAAGCCATTCTTATCTGTCAATTTGTCCTCCAAATGAAGCATGTGGCTCCAAGCTTTTCAATAATGTCTCCACTGGCCCCTCCACTCAATAATCCAACGCTTTTTATCCCTTCTATCTTTTCATTGAAACTTTTGGGATCTCCCCATCAACTGACGCTTGAAGAAGCAAAGAAAGTGAAAAAAAAAAAAGGAAAGGAAAAGAAATTACCACAATCGGAATTCAGCAAATGATGGAAAATTGGGTTTAGTACTAGGGTCCATAGAAGAGATGAATGTGGGTGCGATGTTTGCTTGAGGTGAGTTTGTTTTGGTGACGCAGTGTGTTACTTGCTATTTTTACTGTTATGTTGTTGGTAGATATCGATTGGTAGTTGGTGCTGGTGCTTTTAGATGTGTAATGCTAAGTAGTAATCTTCAGTCAAAGTAAATTTGATAGCCAAGTTCATCATCCTCTCTGCTCGAGTCCAATTTCTTCCATACAAATGGGGCAGTTCCCATGTATGGAGGGGATTGATCGAACCAAAGATTTTAATATCCATGATACGGAAAAAGAATCTGCGATCCTCGTCATCATGATTACAATCTTGTTCGGGACGGGCAAGTCAAGTTTTCTATCAATTTAGGTTATTTAGTTACCCTAGTTAAACCACCTTAGATCATATGATACAAACAGGAGATGCATCCGAAAGTACCTTGAACTAAAATTATATATATCACAAATTAAGAGTTAATACTCATCCGGAGAACAGATGGCCCAATTTCCACGATAAACCAATGGAAAACAGCAAGAACTGTCCATGAAGATTGAACTCATCCATTCCTCACTACTTTGAGCACATATTACAATTTACGGACAGCACAGTCCAAGAAAAACAAAAACGAAGAAGGGAAAAAAGGGACACAGTCAGAAGTCCAGAATACAACAAATGGAGGCCAAGCTCCTAGTCCATCTAACGCATACATACAGCGCAAACATACCGGTTGAAACTCCTGACCGACGCGAAAAAAAAATGACTTAAGAAATAATAGATATACTCGTTCTGCGAATGATGTAACAAAAAATTGTACCGCAAAACAAAAATCACTTCCTCATCTTGCTCTTTTCCTTGCCACTGAGGAACATGGAGCCCAAACCGAACAGATTCCCTGAAGGCACATGCAAAACTGGATTGACCCGAAAGCTGCCATTGTTGTTGTTGATGTTCCCATGAAAGCCATTATTGCTCTTCCTCAGCGGAGGTTTCTGATAACCCGACGACAATGGCGACGATGAAGAAGGTTGAAATGGCTTGAGTGGAAAGCCTTGCTTGTTAGGAGAACAAGTCTGCTTCTGATAATGAAGATGATTGTGGTGGCTCTCTTTGCTGTTGTTGCTGTTCAATGGCGACCCGGTCGAGTTGCTTCGCGACAAGAGAGGCAAAGGACACAAACTCCTTCCATACCCACTTCCGCAAGAACTCAAGTTCAAGCTCCTGCTTCGCTTGAACTTCCAAAACGACTTGGAGTTGTTGCCGCTCTGTTGCTTCTCTTCGCTCTTCAAGCTCTGCTTCTCGGAGTCCTCAGAATGACCCTCTTGTTTCAGAGGCTGGTTCCGGGGAGCATGTTTCTTGATTTGGGTGGTGGGGACGATCTTGCCATCGGAGAAGAGCTCGTCAGCGGAGGAAGGCTCGTGGCCGAAGATGTTGAGATTGTTGGAGAAGTTGAAGTCGAAGCTCGGGCCGCTCAGATGGCTGGTCCCTCCTGCCGAGTCCGAGCTAAAATGTTGGCGTTGCTGGTCTAGAGGGACGACGGCTTCGGAGAGGCGTAGGTCGTGCGAGAAGGAGATTCTCGGGCTCGTGCCTGGGTTCTCGGACAAGAGCTCGATCGACATTGTCCTTCTTTGTGGGAACTTCAAGAAACTCACGTCGGACGAGACACAAACGAGACGAAATGGGAAGAGAATGAGCAGACTGAGATGAGACAGCGACGGAGAGAAGGGAATGTTGGTTCTTGAAAATGATTTGACCCACAGAGAGAGAGCTTTACATGCGAAGGCCGAAGGTCGAGGTTGTTCCGAGCACAAAGAAATGAAGAAAGAGAGAAGTCCTTCATTTAATGGGAGGACGATTAGAAAAAGGGAGAGCGAAAGAGGGAGAGATTAGATAGAAACGTGTGGAGAGATTTGAGCATGCAAAAGCGGGCATTGCAGAGCTGGAAATGGTTGGTGGGGTGGTTTAACGAGCACTTCGGGGCATTGCTGGTGCTGGATTTCGAAAAGGGCATTGTCCATTTCCATTATAGATTCATGACAACATGGAATGGAACCACCACGAGGTCAAACGAAAGTAAATCATCAATCTCATCGTTTGATTTTAACGGTCTGCAGTCGATCCATCCCAATTGCAGAACTTCTGTCCCCATCTTAAACTAACCTTTGAACAAGTAAAAGTAACCAAGTCAAGGCAAGTCGAAGCGATTTTACCGTCTAGGCCCCGTTTATTTCATGAAAATTTAATATTTCTGGAAAATGTCTTTTAATAATTTATCTTTCAGAAAAAATGACAACATTTAGTTGAAATTTGAAAAAAAAAATCAAACATTGTTGTCCTTCGTTTAAAAAGGAAATTTTGATTTTATATCTCCTAAAAAGACACGTACTATTTAAGCGCTAGTGACTCGGGTATAAACAATCGAGGAACTGGACCTGGCCTCGATGGACCCCGGCCCAAGCGCTGGGACTAGTCCTGGGCACAGGCATAAGCACTAGGGCTGTAAACGATTCGATTCGGTTCGATTTTCTTGAAAAACCGAATCGAACCGAACCGTTGAGGAAGCAACCATGAACCGAACCGAAACTCGCTCGAACCAAATTGAAACTTAACTGAAAAACCGATTTGGTTCGGTTTGGTTCGGATCAGTTTTCGATTTTATTCTGTTGAACGTTATTGAACCCGGCAACCGACGAAACCAAATGCAACTTCTCTCCCTGTACACCCCCGGCAACCGAGACAACACCATTTGTTGGCGACGAACCCAAAATCCCATCAACCCCTTGATTCACCTTCTCGTTCTCCACAACCCTGGGCTTAACCTTCAGCTCCGAAGCAAACCCAGCCCCATTGGCAACCCCCACCTTCAAATCACTCTCCTTCTCCTTCGGCGTCAAGAAGGCCACCCTCTCCAAGGCCTCCCTCGCCCTCTTCCTTGCCAACGCCACCTCCTTGACCCTCCGCTCCGCCTCGACCCCCGTGATGGCCGCGGCCTTGCTCATCGTGGCGCAGGCGATCTTGGCCGCCGCGACCAGAGCCTTGGCCGACTCCCTATCGATCACCCTCCTCACGTCGTCCCTATCGTCCCCGAGGAGGGCGCCCCCTCCGGGGGGTGACGACGGCCTCGAGGCCCGCGTTCGCCTCGACCCTCGACCGCTTGTCCTCCCCGTTGCTGGGGACCGGCCCGAGGGAGAGGAACCGGAACTTAGGGTTGGAGCAGAAGGGGCGCTAGAAGTGGTGGTTGGAGTTGGAGCTGGAGGTGACGCAGGAGAGGTGGGAGATGGAAGGGCAGTTGAGGCACATGACGCACTGGTTGGGGGGGGCGCGCCGAGTAGATGGGGGTCGAACACCTGGCTGTGGAAACCGAAGTGTTTATTTCAGTTTGGTTCGATCCGAACTGATTCGAACCGAACTGAAATAAACCGAATTGAAAAAAAAATGGTTAATTTTGATTATCCAAATCGAAACCGAAACCGAAACGCATGAAATTTTCGGTTCGGTTCGTATCTCGATTCGATTTTTCGATTTGGTTCTGACACCCTTAATAAGCACTAGTCCTAGGTCCACTGAAGAAGGGCCTGAGATCCCAGCACCACGATCGAGGCTAGGCCAGGTCCATGGAGGCCAGGCCTGAGTCCACAAAGGCTGGGCTCAAGACTTCCGTGCCCGTTTCTGACTCCCCGCTCGGGCCTAGGTCTATCGAGGCCGAGCCCGATACCCTGATACCCATGCTCGTTTCCAAGCTGGACCTAGGTTCATGATGACGTGCATGGGTCCGTTGAGGCTGAGCTCGAGACTTCGGTGCCTATACCCAAGTCCCTGGTGCTCGAGCCCATGACCATTGAGGTAAGGTCCAGGTCCATTGAGGCGGGCTTGGGTCCTCGAGAGTGTTCTACACTCCGAGTTGATGGACCTTGGCCCAAGATTCGAGGATTCTGGTACTGGCATCGAGGTGTCGAGCCCTACCTCAATGGATCCGGATATGGGCACTAGGGTCC